ATGCTTTCTAGAATGTACTTCCCTTGGAGGGGAGGGGGAAGAAAATAAACTATTCCCAAGAGGAATGATTTAGGGACGCCCAACCATGTGCTCAGTAGCAAATATTGTACTTTATACAGGCTGGTCGTCTAAAATTCAGTCATGGCCTGCATCTTGCAAGCTGCGATCCGAACGGTCTAAGGTCGTGTTGGTGACGCATCCATCCTAATATAAGTTACTTACTCATTCTTCTTAGCGCTGGACTGGTCTGAGGCGTCTGTAGTAAGGACAAGTACGGTGCCATTCTGTCCATCTCCCGTTTAAAATGTCACCACAGCTTCATGAGAATAACCTTATAACAGCTGGCCGCAGGACCCATCTGGAAACGGCCGCCAACACAGGATACTGGCCCACCGTAACTCTCCTATTCTACCCCAACCCGGTAGCTTGCCCGCACCATACACCTGAGCAGCTGTGTAGCCAGAAAAGAGAGACGAGGGTGGGGAGTGAAGGCTGTGTTGAGTACAACTTATTTCAAGGGCACCGTGATGACGGACTCATCGCTGATATGACACCCTGTCAGGTGAGACAAGCCATAACGAAAATTCACGTGACTCGAGTGCGCGCATTCACGCACGAAGGCGCTCAGCTGTCGAACAACTGCGAAAAGCCTCAGGGAAGAGTGCGGAGTCAGAAGGCATCCCTTGGGTGTCCGATCGCTCCCCCCCCCGCACCCGCCGTTACCCTCATAGGTCCATGTCCTCCCTCCCATGTAAAAAATGCCTCTAGTCCGGATGAGTTGCCTTGTGTGAAAATATCCGATAGGGAGGTAGCTGGATCTGGGAGGGGATTAAGAGCTTCCTTTACATGGACTGATCAGTGATTAGGGGAAAATACGCTTAGGTATCTGCTCCTGAGTTCGTTTGGGAGTGCCTACTAGTTTTCTCGTCTTGTGGAATGACTCCAGCCATAGGTACCTGTTACATTTTGACAATTAGTGTAAGCTTTCATCTCAGAAGAGCTGTCTTCTGATAGGGCTGTGAATGCTTTCGAAATCGTTGATCGCCTACTTAAAACACCAAAAGGGATGCAGAAAAGTGCCCCTCACAGCAGGAAAGTGTGTTCTAGAAGCTGAAATCCTCTGTCTTAGCAGGTTATGTGTGTCGGAGGGAGGCAAAGCCACTTAAAATACCTTTTTTCTTATTTGGTCTGCGGATATGAACAGAGGACATCAATATCAGTGGAGCTAAATCTCGAGCAACAACCTCTTCCAGGGAAAAAAACACGACAGAGAAGAATTATAGGATAGCGAATAATCAGCAAAAACAACCAGCCTAAATTCGTCGCCGTTTTGGTGAAAATTCGCAACGTCAAAAACAATGGATTAATTACAGCGTGTGTGCGTGCTCACGCAACTGAATGGAAGTTAGTCGCGCAGGCAAGTCGGGACTGAAATGCCCGGTCCGTCACTCCGCGCAATATCCTCCTTCTCTCTTCATTTAACTTTTACCATTTAGACTTTGCAGTGAGGCGCAGTGAAAGATTGAGCTCTGTCCCCTACAAGTCCACCTCGCTAGGCACTAACACCAGCCTTCCCTGCCCACCTAGGGGTGTTCCTCGTCGAGCAGGACAGAGGGACTGTCTCGTCTGTCTGGCTGTCTATCTGGCTGCAGATGGACGTGTCTGGGCTTCCACCTGTTAGAACGAACCTGTCTTCCGTGATGAAGGGATGTCGAGGAAAAGTGAGGTTAACGTTTTGACTGCAATCAGCAAGCAAATGGCCGGCGAAGCACGGTGTTTAAATGAAAATGTTCTGAGTAAAATACGCCAGCTTCCGGGCTGATAGGACCTCGGGTGCAGCGTTAAGTAAACTCCTTGGCACAGATGTCAGTGGTTCTAGCGGACAACTGATCTCATTAGGTCCGAATTAAAAGATCGCATTGGCCCGCGGTCAGGTCAGAAAAAAGACTGTTAAGTACTGACCTGTATGACCCACCTGCTTTGAGCCGACAAACTTCTGCTCAGTCACCCCGGGATTCATTATAAAACTAATTATTCTCCAACCATTTGCAAAATAAATTTTCTTCCCAACGAAAAGCAGAACGAAAGCGGGCCCTCGTGTTATTAAATTATCATATATTGTTATGGGACAACGGGCAGCTGATAATCTGGATCTGAGTGACATAAAGGTCTGTGGGCCGGAATCCCCAGAGTTCTCCCCTTTTTCAAAGTGTAGTGGATTTAGGACGGCGCTGCTTCTACGATTTGGTGAGAGAAAGTGTTGGTTTTTACTGATAAAATCCATGATGTCGGTCTCACCTGAGATAAACGTTGTGGTATTTATGGTTTGTTCAGTGTGCGATGACGACTTTGGACAGTAGCAACCAGATACGGTATCGAAACACGGTCGTTCATGTAAAAAGAGATGAAACAGTTAAAAGACCTAAGGCAAGTGTATCTACTTACTATTTAATAAGTGGCCTTTTTAAGTGAGGTCATCATGTGTAGAGTTCGAAGATTTTCGGCAGTTGTGAAGCTTTTTTTAAACCAAGAGACTCATTCGTAGTAGATATAAAGTTTTAAGGAACTATAATTTACCATGTAAATGTACAAGAATAATATTGCTATGCATGACTTCCATAAAATATGCTTGACATTATAACTGCATCGAAAACCAATGAGAAAAATGTACACTAATGCAGCAGCTATTTTTTAAAGAGTATTCTTTTTTAGGTTGTCATAAAAAGGCTCGCTTACAAGCTGGTACGGTGAAATAAATGAAATATCTTGGGATAATGCTGTAAGATAATCAATGTTACAGCCCTACTTAGGTAATTTATTCGAATCGAAAACACATTTCAGAATTTTGGTTGACATTTCATGAGATGGGGAATCTACTGCACATGATATATATATATATATATATATATATATATATAT